GGGAGGAAGAGGGAGGAAGAGGGAGGAAGTGGGAGGAAGTGGGAGGACGAGGGAGGGAGAGGGAGGGAGAGGGAGGGGGGAGAGCGCGGCCGCCGCCTCGGGTCCCGCATCTCCTCTCCCTCTCGGCCCCGCATCTCGGCTGCATCTCGCGGCGCCTCGTGGCCTCGCATCGCCGCCGCGCCGATCACGAGGCCGGCGTGGCCGTTGTCGAAGACTCCGAGACACCAGACGCCGGGGCGGTCCTTGTAGATGTACTGTCGCGGCGTGAGCGGGAGCTCGAAGCCGCCGCCGAGGCGGATCGAGTGGTTGGCGAACCCACCGAGGTCGGCCTCCTCCATCGTGTAGCAGAAGTCGTCTGGGTAGTGCCCCTTGACCGAGCGCGAGGCGCAGCCCGCGGGCCACGGGCAGCTCTGCTGGAAGAGGCGCCGCACGGCGGCGTAGGGCGTCGGGGGGAGGTAGATGAAGGTGGTGCCCGAGTCGACGATCGAGTGCGAAAAGTCAGACGGCGAGCCTGTTCACGGCGAGGCGCTGTGAAGAGGCGCGGCTCGCACCTTGCGCTGCTCGCAGCAGCGGCGGAGGGCGAGCCGACGGTATGGCCCCCGACGCGGAACTCGAGCACCTGCGCCGCGCAGTCGGCTGTGAGTCCTGCCTCCTCCTCCTCCTCCCACTCCACTACTGCCACCGCGAGTCCCGAGCCTGCACTGTGTAGTCGCCCGGCCGCCCTAGCGTCGGCACCCACGCCGGCCGCAGGGAGGGCGGCACCGCGCCTCCCATGACCAGCGCGCCTGCAGCGAGGGGCGCGGTGGTGGGCGGCAGGAGGGGCGAGGGCCACCCTCCCGCCCCCGCAGCCCCTCCCACCGCTGTCCGAGGAGAGGCAGAGCGAGAAGATGGCGGGCGCGCCTGCGGGACGGGGCGTGGACGCGTCATGGACGAGTCCGGTGGCGGCAGGAGCTAGCCGACGGCGGGCGCGCCCGTCGCCGCGCAGAGGTCTCTCAGCAGCGAGCCGCCCTGGCCTCCGGAGCCCGCGCGCGAGAAGCCGGCGATCCCGTCCGCCTGCTGCGAGTGGAAGAGGCCCGACTCGTACGTCTGGCAGCCAAAGACGGTCGGCGCGGTGCGGCCGGATGCGCCGTCGACCGCATAGTGCACCTCATCCCTGACGAGGCGGCCTCGAATGGAGGAGCCCTCCGTGTACGAGACCGAGTAGCCGCACGAGCCGCGGTCGCACGAGCCGCAGCCGGAGCAGCCAACCACCGACGAGGTTGGCGACGCCGAAGCGTCAAAGCGAGTGCCCGCCGAGTGGTGGCCGCAGTGAGTGCAGTCGGCGCAAGGGAGCGCCGTCATGCCGGAGCCGGTGTCGACGATGAGCGAAAAGGACCGTGGCGGGTTGCCCACGCACATCTCGGCGGCAAAGTAGCCGAGCGTCTGCAGGTTGCCATTCAGCCGCCAGCCCGCCTTGAGCGAGAGCTGCCGCCGGCCGCCCGGATGCACACGCGGGTCGTGAGCCTCCGCGGCGGCGACAAATTTTAGCGGGGTGTGGGCGTGCAACTGCCACATGTACATGTACGTGCAACTGCCGCCCGGGCGAGCAGAGCCGTGAGCCGCGCGCAACAACGGCGCGCAACAACTGCAGAAAAGAATTTTACAAAGCGCGCACAACACTGGGAACGGGACTGGCGCGCACTGGCACTAACACAGAAAAGAATATGCGCCAGTCGGGCCTCCCCTTCTCCCAAAATCCTGCTCGTGCAGGTGTGGACCCTGTCCTCCTCCCCTATCCCTCGTTTGGGTTGTCTGTTTTCTTTCTTTTCCCATCCCTCGCTTGGTTTGTCTGTTTTCTTTCTTTACCATCCCTCCCTTGCTGTGGTTACCGGTTTTCTTTCTTTCTTTCAAAACAATTTTCGCACCCCAGGTTATGACTGCACTCCAAGTGCTCCAAGTGCACGACACTGGGCGCGGGTCTGGCGCGCACTGGCACTAACACAGGTAGGGAGTAGAGAAAGAAAAGAAAAGGCGCAAGCAAGTGCCAAACACACACTCTGTCAGTCAGCAGTCCGCCTTCCGGAAGGCAGCCAGAAATTGAACTCGGGGGCACAGACGCGAGAGAAGACTAGGTATGTTGTTCGTGGATCGCGACACAGAGCTCACACCACAGCGGGAGGAAAGCGGCGAGTCGCAATTCCAGGGGTCGTTGTGGCGGGCCACCCTGTCCGGGTACTGTATGGTGTGCGGTGTATGGAGCGCGATCTCCGCACGCGCACCATCCCGCTCTCCGCCGGGGGCGAGCTGGAAGCGCACTCTCGAGAGCGAGTGTGTGGCAGCTTATGGCGGGGGCGTTGCAGGGAACCAGCGTTGAGCGTCCTTCTTTTGCTTGCTAGCGTCGTACGCGAGTGAGTTCGCCGCGCCGTATCTGCCTCTCTGGCACTGGCGAGTTCGCGGCGGTGGCGGCGCGGGCGGGACATCGTAAAAAAGGAATTTTGGATGATTTTTGCCCACTAAAGAAAATACAGAGGCCTCCGGCGGGCCCCAGCCTTTCCAAACCCGAGTACAAAGCGCCTCTCCGAGAGCGCTGCGCAGACGGACTACTATTAAAGATACTATATCTAGAGACAGGGAGGGGCTCAAGTGACAAGTCACACACGCAGCCGCGTGGACGTCGGCCGAGCGCTGCTCTGCGGCTTGGAGGAACGAGTGCGGCCGGATCCGTTCTCGAGGTCTCGACTCTCGAGGCCGCGGGTTGGGTAGCGAGGATTGGTGTAACGCGGTCGTGTTTTCTGACGGCCGACCGTCTACAGTGCACGGAGTTGCCCCTTCTCCGACTGCCCCGGCAGTTCCCCAGGCTCGGATAGATAGCCTGTACGATACACGTCGTCTCACTGCGCTACCGGTGCCGCTAGCACACGGCCGCTACAGTTAGGCGCAGGAGCGTACACCCAGGTGTTATCCTGTGTATGGCCGGGCGTGCACGTCATCGCCAACAGTTGATCATCTTGCCGTTTGAGATCTCGCAGGTGCTCCCATCCTTTTGTATCACCAGGGTCCGATGGTTGTCATCCCCCCCGAACCGCGGCCGCCGCCGCCGCGCGGAGAGCCGCGGTCTCGGGGCATCCATGCGGCGCGAAGGCTGCGGACAATTCTCCCGCGTCGTTGCGCAGCAGTGGAATGGCCAGCGCGCCCTCGCCACACGCTGCGCCCACCTCCTCCGTCTCGGCATCGAGCCGCACAGGGCTGAGTTTGCCGGGGGTCAGTCGCGGCCGCGGAGCCACATACGGCGCCGTCCTGACGCGATCGCATCAACGCTGCGCAAGGCAGAGGCCAGAGCGCTGCGACGCGGCGGGGCGCGCTCGGCGGCGGTACGTTTCCTCAAGTATGTATTGGCCCCTCTCCCGCCGCCGCCGCCGCCGCCACGAGGTCGGTCGCGACGCAGTGTGGCCAGTGCAAGCCGTAGTCTAGTGGCACCCCGAGGCGCTACGGAAGCGCGGGCCAGAATGATCCTGGTCCATGAGGACACAACGATGTGTACAGAATACCCTCGGCTCGCCAGCCGCAGCGGCCAGCGTTTCAACAAATAGCTTCACGAAGGACGGCGCAAAACTGGCGACGAGGTCTTGCACACAAAACCGCAAGGACGGATGGATTCGGCCACGTCGCCCGTTCCGCCTGGGAGAGTGGTAGAGTGCGCGCATCTCTCGTCTCGTCGCCAACGAGCGGCACGTTTGCGCTCTCCACCCCCTGCCCACCCCCACCCAGTCCCACATGCCGCCCCCCACCCCGCAAGCGCAAATTATCTGAGCGACAGGCCCCAAATCACGCGACGCGCGTCCCTTTGCGCAATCGAAACGTTCTGCGGAGTGAAACGACACACGCGGAGGAGATTCCTTTTGAAGACAAAGACCGAGCACAAAACGGGGGGGCACGCGCGGCGCGCCCACCCTTCCCACGCTGGGCCCTCACCACGCACCATTCCGTTCACTCCGAGGCGAGCTCGAGTCGTCACGTTTCCGGGCTCGCGAGAGTCTGAGCCATGAGACGGTCAAACGGATTGGGACTCGGCGTCGAGCGCATCGTTCACTCCTCCTCGTCGGGGTCCGAGGACTCGTCCGCGACGACCGGCTCGGGCTCCTTGGCCGCCGGCTTGACCTTCTTCTTTTGCGGCTTGGCGTCCGACTTGGCCGCCGGCTGCTTCTTCGCGCCCTTGGGAATGGTTTGGATTGTGCGCCATTTCTCGCCGCGCGCCGCCTTCTTGATCAGCGACTTGGCCTCCGCGGACTTCACGGCTTTCACCACCTGTTCGACACAACACACACAGGCGCATCTCCCTAAACCTCGGTGCTAATACAAGGGGCGACGCGTGGCGACGCGCCTTCTTTGCCGTTTTCGGGTTCATCTCGCCGAAGTCCTCGGGGTACTTGTCACCCAGCTGCTTCTTGATGTAGGGGAGGCTGATGCCGGCGGCCTCGAGGGACTCGTCGACGATCTCCTGCGGGCGCGCGCGCGGGGGGGGGGGGGTGAACGGAATGGGTCGTGCGGGTGGTGGGGGCATCTCCTATGGCAAAGGATCAAAGGTGTTCGCGGGGGCGGGGGCGGGGGAGCGGGGGCGAGGGAAGCGGCGGTGAGGGCGGCAAGGGGCTTGGCCGGCGATGTAAACGGGGGGTCGGGCGTCGATGGCGGCGGTCAAGAAGCGAGGCGAGGCGGCGGCGAGCGGTGGCGACGTGCTATCCAGTGCAGCGGAGGAGGATCGGGGGCCGGGCGCGCACGATGATCATGGTCTCGGTCGTGGTAGGCGCCATTTTGCTGTATCTACGGAGGAACGCAGACGACCGTGCAGGGTGGTGTGATTGCTGTTCGTTTGCGCAAGCGCCGGCGACGAGCAGCCGCGGCGGGGAGGGCGGCTCGGGTCTGGGTCCATGGGAGACGAGGCGTGCGGCGGCGGGGAGTGTGTGTGTGTGCGGAGGAGGCTGCGGGGCGCGGGGGGGAGGGCGGGGAGGCGTTTCGGCGGGCCCACCAAAAAGCTGAGCGATGCCTGATGAACCTACCAAAAAATAATTTTTTCCGGCGTGCGAGTCTCACGGAGTCGCGCTCCCAATACGTGCATCACTTTTGTGACAGGTCTCAGACTTTGAGCGGCCTCTTCGGTAACTATTGATGGTCCACCGGAGAACTCATCGCCATTCGAACGGGGGCCGGGCCCCTGTTCCAAATCCGAAGAGTTTTCCGGTGGACCATCAATAGTTACCGAGATATGGCCGCTCAAAGTCTGAGACCTGTCACAAAAGTGATGCACGTATTGGGAGCGCGACTGCACTGCAGCGCACAGAGGTGTTCGCTCACCCCGTTCCGTTTCCTTTCCGTGTTTCTCTACAGCACCCTCTCGTTTCCTTCCTCTCTAGTTTCGACGACCCCAAGGAAACTCCGTGGAAATCAGCTGGTTTGGGCCCAAAATAAGCCAAATCGGCAAAATACCGGGTATTTTGCGGGTATACCTGGAAAACCCCGGGTATACCTGGAAAATTCCCTGGGTATTTTGCCGGGTTCCTCGGCTTCGCCTCAGATTTGCCCCAGAGGACCAGCTCTCAGACTCAGGGAAACTCGAGAGTTGCCAGAATGGAGCAGGAATGGAGCACCAAACACCCTCTCGTTTCCCTGGAAATTTCCGGAAACGAAAAGTGCTGGGGACCCTCTCGTTTCCTTTTTGGTTTCCGGAAACATGGGTGCAGGCCAAGGAAGGCGCAAGCAAGTGCCAAACACTCTGTCAGTCAGCAGTCCGCCTTCCGGAAGGCAGCCAGAAATTGAACTCGGGGGCACAGACGCGAGAGAGAAGACTAGGTATGTTGTTCGTGGATCGCGACACAGAGCTCACACCACAGCGGGAGGAAAGCGGCGAGTCGCAATTCCAGGGGTCGTTGTGGCGGGGCACCCTGTCCAGAAGAAGTGTTGGTTTTCAAAAATCTCTCTCTCAGACGCGGCAAAGACGGGGCATAAACGCCAGGCTACAGACACAGGGAGGCACGTAGTATGACAAAAAACATATAAAGTCATAATAAGTTACGCCGTGATGAGTTCTTACGATAGGGGAGGGAGCGAACGAACGGCGACGGCCGAAGCGACATCCGCACACCATGATGGCCGCTCGGCTTGGCAGGGTGGCGGCCCCGCTGCTCTCTCGCGCGACACGCGCGAGCGGTTCGGCCCGCTCTGCCAGCACGGCCGCCAGCCTGACGAAAACGGTCGTCACGAGCGTGTTCCGCAAGGAAGTCGCAGCCTTCGCAGGTGGCGTCCTCCTGGCGCTGCCCTTCACAGAGCCCGATGACTTCTTCTACTATTCCTTCACCACCGACAAAGACCCCGACGCGATTATTGACTTCTACTCGACGGAGGACTTTCTGCAGATCCTGGGCATCTTCCCCATTGCGATCCACTTTGTGCTTGCCGGCGTAGTGTGGGACACAGAGCGCGAAAACACCAACGTCGTCTACAACTCGATGGAGATCTCCTTCACGCTGGAGGAGGAGGAAGGGGAGGACGAGAACGGCGAGGAGATCGTGGGCTTCTTCCAAAAGCGC